AAAAAAATATCGAAATTAATTTATATCTTCTAAACGGTAATAGATAGGTATAGGGAAATAGTATATGAATTTGTTGAAAAAGTGATAATGAATCATAATATGATATTATATACGGGGTGTTCCATTTGAAAAATTAAAGAAGCCGCTACTTTATAGTAGAAGAAACAACGTCGCTTCGTCTAAAATATTTTAGGTCATATTGACTTATGCATACTGTGGAATTTTCAGGTTGATTCGTTGAATAGTTTGCCAGAAACGGCTAATCAACGCAATAAATGAATAAGATGTTCTCTATGAAGGTTTACAAAACTGCTATACAATAGCTTCCTGAGACGGGTAAATTACATATGATTTAAAATCATTTAATAAGTCCTTTATAGACATTAGTTACTACCTGTAGCCCAATCAGATAGTTAATTCTAGGATAGATTTATGTACCCGAAAAGACCGGATAAAATGCTCAATTTACTAGCAGAAACAGGTCAACGATTAGGTATGATTACCTGGTAGTAACAAAAAAGAATAATAAAAATCAATTTGATCGTCCATTAAGCATAGCGTATTTTTCCATTCTAAGAACTGTTTCTATGCTCTTTTGTGTGTGTTTAGTCATTACATGGGTAGATGTGGTAAATTCAAATACTTGTCACCGGGACAAAGATATGAAGCTGTTAGAGACAATGGCTGGTGCTAGAACTGTTTGTCAAATGACCACAGTGTAAAAAACTGTCCTAACGAGCGGTTGTGTATTGTGTGTTCTAAAAAACATCACATTTTGCTACATTTGGGAAAAACAAACTCAGTTACTGGATCGAATGGGGATGTGGCCTCAGGATCAAACAGTGAGAGGAGGGAAACAGTTAGTACTGATACATCAGCGGTTTATGTGCATTTGTGTTCTGAACCTAATGCCGTATATTTAAAGGATGATTCAAACTGTACAACTTTGCTTTCTTCTCTGGTGGCTAGATTTATTTTAGATTCGGTAAGTGAAGCCAATTTACTGACAATCGGGTGTTGTAAAAGGTTGGGCTTGAAGGTTTCGAAAAATTATTCTTCGGTATACGGTTTGGGAGGTTCGATTCAGGAAATTAAGGGAAGTACAGTTTTGACAGTTGTTTCCCGGTATAATCTACAAAAGAAATATACAATCAAGACACTAGTTCTTGATAAAATCACCAACGAATTGCCAAAATTTCAAATTGATATAAGCGCATTTCTCGCTTTACATGAGGTGGAATTAGTGGATAATAATTTCGATAAACGGAAATTGATGGGATTTTGGGAGTGGAAATTTTTGCTAATATATTGGAAGAAAGTCGGATTACTGGGGTAGCGGGTACTCCTGTAGTGGTAAAAACAACTTTAGATTATGTTGTAATGGAGGAAGTACCTAAAGGTTCGGTTTTGAATCCGGAAGAGATAGAATGTGAAAATATATATATTAGTTCTTCTAGTAGGGACTGCTCGGGACGGTATACAGTGGCGTAACGTTTAAAATTTCGCCGGAAAGTTTGGGTAATTCGCGGAGTACCTAATGCACAAGTCCGGTTACTTGGGAAAAAAGACTTGCAAGGGATCCAAATTTGCGAATTGAATACAATAAAGTAATTCATGATTTTATAGACCAAGGTCATATGAAATTATTGGATATTGACGCAAACGAAGCGCCGTCGTATTATATTGGTCATCATGTAGTGATTAAACCAAGTAGTACAAGCACTCCGGTGCGGATAGTTCTAGATGTTAGTGCCCTAACGGATATCTTATATCGGGGAAGCAAGTTGCAGGCAGATTTAGTTACTTTACCATTGAACTTTCAACTATTCAAGGTATAGCATTGACCGCAGACGTTCGGCAGTTATATAGACAGATTAATGTTATAGAGAATCATTGACGTTATCAAAGGTAACTGTGGCGTTTTAGTCCAGATCGTCCAATTGACACTTACGATATAAAAGTTGTAGCTTTTGGATTAAAATCTTCACTTTTTTACGCACTATGAAGGGAAAAAATTCCACTGGCGGCGAAATTTGTGTCACGAGATATCTACGTGGATGATTTTTGCACAAGTATAAATTCGGAAAAGGAAGCTGCGCAATTATACAAGAAATCAGTTGATTCATTTCAAGCTGGTTGTTTTGACTTAACAAAATGGGCTACAAATTCAAGGGCATTGTTGAATGAAATTCCAATAGAAAAGCGGTTAGCGGGAAATGTACTTTTCTCCTCGGATACACAGGTATTATGTTTACAATGGCATACAGAAACTGACGTTTTAAGTTTCAAGGTGCATAACCCGGATCAGAAATGTACACGGTGTCGGTGTTGGTTTGTTGGCACCTTTCATTTTGTATATTAAAATATTGATAAAAAAAATATGGACTTTGAAATTGGACAGGGATGAGAGGACTCCAGATGATATTTTAGAAATTTAAGGAAAGATACGATCCGAATGAAAAATTTAAAGTAACTTAGGCATATAGGAGCAAAAGAACGGAACTCTCAAATGGTTTAAGCTTTCGCGGATGCTAGTTTGAGTGCATATGGAGCTGTCGTATACTTACGTAGTGTACTATCGGATAATGATGTTGAAGATCAACTTGTGTGTGTCAAGTCAAAGGTATCTTCGGCTAAAAAGCGGTTGACAGTTCCTCGACTGGAACTTTTAGCAGCTCTTTTGCTTTCTAATTTGGTTAAATATAAAGAACGCATTTTGATCACAAAAACCTTAGCCTTTTCAGATTCTTCTATAGTTTTGAGCTGGGTAAGACAGTCTCAATCTAGAGATGTATTTGTTGCGAATCGGATCGCTCGAATTCAGGAAAATATACCCGAAGTTTCGTGGTACTACATCGAAGGTATTCAAAACCCTGCCGATTGTTTATCGCGTGGTCTATTTCCGGAACAATTAGTTAGACATCCTCAGTTATTATATGGACCCGCATTGATGATATTACCCTCAAATGAATGGCCTTGTTTTCTTGATGAGTGTAAAGATATCCGGAGGAAAGATATATTTGTACTGAATAATAATACGGGAATGGATTTTTATCCTCCATTATAATGGAGGATAAAACAGTAACAACAGATATTACAACAGTAATTACTGTTGAAAGTTCCTCAAAAATTAGTACTTGATCACCGATTACTCGATAAAGATGATTTTTTACCGCCTTGACGTTACTCTCCCACAACTCCATTCGATTCCGTTTATCCCTAACTCCGTTCCAAAAGAATTGAGGAGAGTTGAGGTATTCATGCAACTCTTTAAGGAATGATTTTGCCCCTACAATAACACGAGCTGGGCCTCTTCTAGCTATAAATCTTTTGAAAGCTTGTAAAAAATTGATAAAGAACTCACCAATTCCAAATGGATAGCTATCACCCCCATACAAGTAAATAAACTTACATAAGCTTTATGAACTGATGCATTTCGCTTCCTACCCATCGTAATTTTGAGTGGTCCGAAGTAATCGACCCCTGTATGTAGAAATGCACAAGCTACTCTAACTCTCTCAGCGGGTAAGTCCGCCATAAGTGGTTCTACATTCGGTTCCATGCGAAAACAATGATTACATTTGTGTATTATACTCCTAATTAAATTTCTTTCTCCTGAAATCCAATAGTTCTATCGCAAAATAGTCTCTAATAAGTGAGCACCAGTATGAAGATTGATCTTATGATGAAAATCTACCAAGTTTTCAGTAAGAACATCTTTAGCTGAAAGAACCAAAGGGTGTTTCTGACAAAAATTCAAATTTAAGTTTGCTAATCTACCCCCACCCTCAGCAAAACATCTTGCAAAAAAGGGTGTAATTTGATTAACCTAGATGTACAAGACTTATTTGACTTCAACATCTGAATTTCAATTTCGAAATGTTTAATTTGAACAAGTATTATTAAAACCAACTCCGCAGTATGGAGATCCTTTGAAGAAATAATTTTCCCACTAGGAATCATTTTCAAAAATCTTAAAACCCATACAGTTATGCGAGGATTCCAGTTGACCCGAGTTTGGTTAAATGGAGTTTTACTGTACATTTCTGCTAATGACAGTAACTTGATTACTTTTAAAAAAATTGAACTTATGAAAAAGTGAAAGGAGGATTGTTTTTGCCAATGAATTCAGTATCATAATCAAATTCCCAAAATCAACTTTACAAGTAGGTACACTTTTCTCCATATAAACATTTCATTTTCAGGATAACATTTCGATCACCTCCTCATTAGGTCTATTTGGATGCTGAGAAGCTCGTCCAGAATAGGTTCTAAACGGTTCTAATGTGTGGTAAAAACTATTTCCTTTGAAAACATCAATTTGAAGATTAAAATTGCTCTACATATGTACCTGGCGAAATTCCTTCGTGAAACTGTAATTCTAGTGCCTATTGGTAAAATTCTACTTCGGATTGAAATATATAATGCATCCATTTTTCATTTTTTATGTACTTCAATCTTATTTTTAAACTGACATTTTTTTTCTCTGGAGTTGTGTAATAATGGATGTAGGTTCAGCGTAGTATTTTCTGTTTGTCAGGATTGTGATGATTTGAAACAGGAATTTGATACTTGACAAAAATGTTTGATTCTGATATTTTGATTATTTTGAATCTTGAAAGTTGACTTGACAGCACTGACACTTTGACATTGACTGTGTCTAGAACAAAAAAGCGGAAAGCGCTGTGCTGCGCTGAAAGTAGCGTAAAAGTGTTTTTCAATCGACCAGACGTTATATGTCTAGGTCATATGTGACCGATGTTTCACGTCGGCTACAATAATTGCTGGCTAAGGTAAGACGATTCTTCGGTCAAGACCGTGCAGAAAGAATATGTGCTGAACAAGTTCCTTCTTTGCTGTTCTACAGGCGAAGCGGTACGATCCGATCTAAATAACGCCCACTAGGGGGATGAAGTTGCTGCGGTTACGTAGAGTTCAGAGTCTAGAACCGTACGGAATTTATTTTCTGCTGTTCTACAGGCGAAGCGGTACGATCCGATCTAAATAACGCCCACTAGGGGGATGAAGTTGCTGCGGTTACGTAGAGTTCAGAGTCTAGAACCGTACGGAATTTATTTTCTGAGTAGAATCATAGTATATCTGCTTTTCATCTTTGTCCTAGACACAGTCAATGTCAAAGTGTCAGTGCTGTCAAGTCAACTTTCAAGATTCAAAATAATCAAAATCAGAATCAAACATTTTTGTCAAGTATCAAATTCCTGTTTCAAATCATCACAATCCTGACAAACAGAAAATACTACGCTGAATCTACATCCATTATTACACTGGATTTGGATCTGGATCTGGATTTAGAACTTTTCAATTCTTCTTTGGAATTTTTATTGTGATTGGCTGGCGTATTTCTGCCTTTCTTAAAATAAAAATAACTTGAGAAATAAAGAAAAAAATGGGGGTGTATATTGAGTGCATAACCCGGTATATTTTTGAAAAGGTAGTCCAAAAGTATAACATTATAATTAAGATAAACAAGTACATTGTGTATAAAAAAGTAAAGTCTACAGTGATAGACAGGTGGAAAGCAAATTAACATTCAAATTCATTAAAAGTTTTTCAAATTTCAATGATTCGATTGAAAACACATTGGAATTGTTTTAAGTTTATTGAATTGGAATTCAAAAAATATGTTTGGAAATATGTTTGGCAAAAATCATTATTAAAAACGAAGTTTTATGTAGGTTACGTCAAGTTTCATTTCGCAACACTGTGTGTATAACTTCGATTTCATAACTTTTTTAAGATTTGTATTTTTCCGAAATATCAACATAAAATCAAAATTATAGTATGTAGCTGAAATTTTGCATCAGGCAAATAGCATTTAGAAAAACTTTTTCTCCTATTTTTTTTCAATACTTCAATACCTAATTTTCGAATTTTTTTGGAAAAAATAAAATTTGACATATAATGGGAATCATGTGACTAGATTTTTTTTTCACCTCGTTAGATTCAAAAATTGATGCCAATGTCAAATTTCGAATACAACTATATATTCTAAATAATATTCTATGATGCGGAATCCTTGTGTTCGCTCTGTTATGTGGTTGATAGTACGATAAAAATAAAGTAATAAAAATAATGGTGTAAATTCATTCAACTTTCTGAATTATTACAATAAAACTCACAGTAACCGTGAGCTTAATAAACAAAGGCAGTATGATTTTCCACTAAACCGATTTAGTTGTGCATGGATGAAATTGGTTATTTCCAATTCTGTCATGAACTCTTGGTCTAGAAGGAAATATAACGTTTCTCACTATTGGTCGAGATGTTCATTAATAGAAAAAGGATCGTTATATGATTCAAAGTAAGATAAACACGTTGAAACATAAGAATCTTTCGAAAAATTTTATGAAAAAATTAATTATTATTCGACCTAGTATTCGACCTAATTTCAACAAGTAGCGGAAAAAATTATTCCTTTAGCCTTCTTCATGAAGTACACCGTTGTTGAAGTTATGATGATAGTTAAAATTTCAACACAGTAACATAAATAATCACTGAGCTTATTGGCTATTCTTTCGAAGTGTTACTAAATAAAATCGCAACGTCGCAAAGTCGCAATAGTGACATCTTTTCGTTCGTCACTTTTCACTCACCTTATCATTTGTCAAATCAAAAATTATTTCCAAATTTTCTTCGTTCATCCGCAGTTTTGGTGCAATGTTCGAGGAGGAATTACTTATATTTAGTAATTAACATTTGAGGACATGAAATGAACAATGTTTCTCATAATTTCAGTATTAGTAACTGAAGAAGACTGATTTTTATCATCTCTTATATGAAATGTAGGTTATTTAATAAAAATGAATGTTATCAATAATTTGAAACACATTTTAGAACTGAAGAACAATGCCAGAAAACGTTGAACTTGAGCAACTAGTCGAGGACGAACAAGAAGATGAATTGAAAATCTATGAACCCAGAAGAACTTGCCATTGTCCCTATCTGGGTTTATTATTAGCAACATTAAGTTCTCTCTTCTTTTCCCTCTGTTCTGTTATTGTCAAATGGATGACTGATATTAATCCAATGGCTTTAGCTGCGTATCGCTATTTAGGTGTTCTGTTACCAGCAATACCAATTGTGATATATAGAGAAGAAAAGGTGTTCCCTAAAGGAAAACGAATAATGCTTCTGATGAGATCTTTTACTGGTACAGCTGCTCTGATGCTGAGTTTTTATGCATTTCGACATATGCCATTGGCTGATGCTTCTGTAATAGTTTTTTCAGTGCCTGTTTTTACTGGTATATTTGCTAGGATGTTCCTAAAAGAGCCTTGTGGCTTATTCAATATTTTCTCAGTAGTTTTAACATTAATTGGAGTTGTATTTATTACTCGCCCTCCTATATTATTTGGAGACACGGTTAACTCTTTGGGAGAAACTGGACAGCGACCTGAAATGTGGGGAGCAGTCGCTGCTTTTTCTGCAACTCTATTTGGGGCCAATGCATATGTTTTGCTCAGAGCTCTGAAAGGTATACATTTTTCTGTCATTATGACAAATTTTGGTGCATTTGCTTTGGTACAGTGTGTACTGGTTACAAGTATTATAGGAGCTTTGTGCTTGCCATCCTGTGGCATGGATAGGTATCTCATAATTGCTCTAGCATTATTTAGTTTTTTAGGTCAAATTCTTCTCACTTTAGCTTTACAGATGGAACAAGCGGGACCTGTGGCGATAGCAAGAAGCAGTGATATTGTTTTTGCTTTTATATGGCAGGTGTTGTTTTTTAATGAAATACCAAATAAGTTCTCTATTGGTGGAGCAATTTTGGTAATGAGCTCTGTTCTATTGACTGGATTGCGGAAGTGGATAATGGCTTTACCACATGATGCTAGTCTTAGAAGGAATCTCAATATCTTGACAAAATAATTTTGTGATACTTAATAATCAAAGTGGTATATTTTCAGGTATATCAGATGGATGCTGGATACATTCATCAATATTTGAGTTATAGATACTGATGAGTCGTGTATAAAATATCGTTTTTTTACAAGAAAAATTTGTATCTCATTGACAAAGGTAACTGATTTCCAAATAGCTATTTTTATTAGAACACTTATTCTTTTTAAATTATTGACTTTTACAAAAAGTATCTGAAGAAATGGTTTATTTTATTTATTGAAGTATCATTATTGAAATATCAATACCTATTTGGTCTACAACATACTGCTCAGGATTATACTTTATTATTATTGCTGAAATTCATTCATAACATTTCGAAATTCAATTGTGCTGTGAAGATTTTTTTCTATAACATCCGATTTTTGAAATTATTAAAATCACCCAAATTGTTTACTCAAATCTTTTTGATTTAGTTTCCACCGTGATGTCTTATCAAAATGAACTTTTGTAGAACTGGTTTGGAGTAATCCTTAATGTAACTCTTATAGTTCAGTGAATTATTTGTGTATGAACAGAATGATGTAATGATATATTGTTTGAATCTATTTTGAATCATTTGAAGTTTCCTGTGTTGATCTGATATTCACTTGAAAATCTACATTGGATCATTTTTTGAGCTTTTGTAAAATAAAATGTTTTGTACTGGAAAACTATTGCTATCTTTGATATGCGTTTTCATCTTGGAATTATTATATTAGGTTTGATGTGTGAACACTTCTGTTGTATGAAAAAGATTTATGAAACTTCAAACTCATCTGAATTATTTATAGGTATCAGAATTTGAACAGCTGAGACTTTTCATATTCAATACATAATTGAAGTAAATCAATTTCACTTTTCTGAAAATTTGAAGATCAAATTGTTGAAAAGATGAATAAAGTTGTCCCTTGTCAAACAATTCATTATAGTGACTTTCTTATATGAGTACTTCTAAGTACTTTTAAAACCTTTTTTTTATTTGTTATCTTGTATGAATATTATGGTGTACATGGCATTATGTCTTTTTAATTTATGTTTTGTTTATAAACGAATGGAATGTTCTCATACTAGCTTTGGAGAATCAGATCTGACATGTTTTCATTTTTTCCTTTTTGTGAGCTGTGAAACAAGTTCTAAATATAGCTAAATGCACATCATATGTGTATTGTACTATTCAACAAAATGTCTAGTCATTATTATCAAATTTTATCTAGCATTATATTCTGTGATTTTTTAGTTGTATAATGTACCATGTTAATTGCTATGATGACAGGTATTTCAGAAAATAATCATAAAGGACCAACTTCGTGTTCTAAGATTTTGAACCTTCATTTTATTGTTATTTGTGAATTGTTTTGCAAAATTTAATAAATGATGATATAAAATCTACCTGCATTTTATTCAGAACTGATTGTGGAAAATACCTCAGTACTTTCTGATATAGCCCTTTGACTATGTCATGACAGTCATAAGGAAGACTCCATATTTCTATTAAACTTGAGTTACATCAATAAAGTATAAACTCACCTTATCACTCCGCTAAATGACTATTTATAGATCATTTATCCGTTTAGCGGGAGCTGACCGTTTGGCAGGAGATGGCCGTTTTCTGCTTGATTATGGGCTTCCATATGTTACGTATTTCTACGCTAGCTTGGCTGAATGCGTTGTTGGATAACATATATGCGGCTTCTTTGAATTTCCTCCTAAACCAGTGATCCTCCCTGTGGATGATCTTGGTGGCTTTGTTTTCGTGATGCTGCTACGGATAGTGAAGGTGTCAACGTATCTCAACCAGGTTCAGGACCATTGAAGAAGCCCACATTTCAATGGCCAGAGTTTCAAACAACTCCATATATATGTTGGCTATAACTGATAAAAGTGGCGATCCTATTGGCAGTTCCCCATCTTCCATAAAGAATTCGTCCATGAGTTGGAAATAGCAGTTTCGTACACAGCAGCCTAGTAATTCCATGATAACTTCTATAGGTAAGTTTGTTCTATCTTGAAGTGCTTCTTCGACAGGAATGTTGGTGTGAAGACTTTCCACGTCGAAACTGATTAGTTAATCTTGCTCTGTGACTTCGATTGCCCCTAGTAATTCGAAAAATGCCTAGAATTCTTCACAAAATATGACGTTTTTCCTTGAATTGGTTGTATTATTGGCAGTAAAAATCTGGAAAAATTTTGAGTAGCTGCATCTCTGGAGCTAATGATCGGTCTGATTGGAACACCCTTCTTGTGATTTTGGGTAGTCCATACAAATGTGGGGCCTTACTGTGGTGCGCTGTTAGCGATGATCTCTCCTTTCCCGAAAAATAGACTTGGTGTTTTTTCAAAGTCTGGTACAACTTCCTTTCTATTGATGCAGTAGGGTCCCTTACGATCTTCGTACATTGACCCTTCTGAAGAACCTCTTCGATCTTCTGTTCGTAGAGATTAGTATCCATCACAAAAGTAGCGTTTCCCTTATCTGCAGGTAGGATCTTGATGTTGTTATCTCTACGTAAGCCGTTTAGAGCTCTATATGTTCTTCATTGCTGATATTAGCTGTTGGAACTGGTTCTCGATCCAGCTATTCTCTGATTTTCTATCTAAATTCTTCAGCCTCGATCTGATCAAATCTAAAGCAAATGAACTTTAAACGTTCGTGCCAGTCTCCATATACCTACACGGTAGGTTTAATGGACTGACGCCTATCAGAAAACAACTACTCCCCTGGCTAATACCACGACGAAGGGCGTTGGATTATATCCGACAGGCGTCAGTGCAGGAATCTTCACAGAAAATTTCCTGCATATGCAATTGGCAAAACCAACTGCATATCCGTAGTTTGCCCGATTCCTCTGAATAAGGAAGAAAAACTTTCTTATTAGTCAGTGGGCTATGCTTGAAGACTGGCAGTCAACAAATCTAAAGTAAATGAATTTTAAACGTTCAGGCCAGTCTCCATATACCTACACAGTAGGTTTAATGGACTGACGCCTGTCGGATATAATCCAACGCCCTTCATGGTATTAGCCAGGGAAGTAGTTGTTTTCTAATAGGCGTCAGTCTTCAATAGACTGCCAGTCTTCAAGCATAGCCCACTGACTAATAAGAAAGTCGATCTGATCAATAAGGGAATTGGTGGATTCCACTGCAGTAATTATCTTCAAAGTGGACACGTTCGTGAGCGGGCGGGAACTCATGTTGATGACGTTGGTAGCTTTGTATTTCTCCTGCTTTCGGTCTGCATTTGGGCATCGTTTCCTCACCAACTTTTCCCACTTCCATGTCTTGGCGGATCTTCAAGCACGTACTTTTAATCTTGACAAATATTGGTCCATGATCATCTTCCAAGGTCTTTCCTCTTATTTCTTCAAATCGTTCTGTGGCATCCTGCATCAGAGTTGACCTTTTCCAACGGTGGTTATTAACCACCGTTGGAAAGTTCATCTAATACCTAAAAAATATGTAATTATTGAATCATTTCGGTACATTACCTAATATTGGACGATGAAAGGAGGTGGAAATAGAAATAACTATTTGCCAAGTAAATTTCCAATTGCAGGAATGATTAGAATAAACGTATACCTACATGAACATGACAACAACTAATAAAACAAATCTCATTTCATTTAGTAAAACACATATTTGCTACGAATGATACATTGTCAAAAACATCATCAGCTGAGTACACTTTTTCAGTAGGTATCACATCAGTAAGTTGATGCTGCTTGTGGATCCCTCTAACAGGTTGATGGAGAATGCCTCACCTCCATATCCATTTCATATTTTGAAATTCAAGGAAGGTTCTAATATACCTACACTTCAGAACACTTTCATTGATTAAATCCGTTATTTCAATCATTGTGCATATTTATAAAAAATCTCGAATTACGTTAAGCGCAAATTTGAAATCACATTCCATTGGGTAAAAAAATTATTCCTCAATCAAACACTTTCAGAGTGAGGGCTGCAACCCCTGAATTTTTAAAAAGAAAGTGGGAGCATTTGAAATATTGGCATTGTGTACTGAAAAATGTTATTGTTTGCGATTTTGATACAAGAATTATTGTTTGGGCATTTACATTTTTTTTAAATTTTGGCAACACCGCTGGGGGCTTTGAATATTATACAGATCAACGTAGTTGAAATCAGTACGCAAAACATTATAGGTAGTTCGGAACGGAATCGGAAAAGAAAAAAACACATAGAGGTAGTACTCGCCATTGGTGTTATCGTTTCGGGTAAATAGTGAATTGTTATTTGAATTCAAAGACGCTCCTTTATTAGCAG